ACTCTGATTTCCGCTAAAATGATAGCACCGGAGTGAGGAAATAGGATGCTTTCTGTCAAATCTGATGTCAGTTTCTTCTCTGAACCTTTTCTGCCTTTTATCAGTCCAGTTTTTTTTAAAAAAAAACTCTTCTATCGTGACTGAGGGCTGAAGGACCAGCCCAAAGCAGCAGTGACAGAATTGCTAACACTTTTCAACTTACAGTTCTGTTTTTCTGGGACGGAAAGAAAGACGGAATGATGTAGCTTGATTTATCCTCTTGAATGGAAATATCAGAATGCATACTGGGATTAGAATGTTCTTGGCCCAGGGGTGCTATTCAGCAGGTTCTGACAGGTTCTGGAGAATCTATAGCAGAAGTTTTGAGTAGTTCGGAGAACCGGCAAATACCACCTCTGGCTGGCCCCAGAGTGGGGTGGGAATGGAGATTTTGCAATATCCTTCCCCCAGGAGTGAGGAGGGAATGGGGATTTTGCAGTATCCTTCCCCTGGAGTGGGGAGGAAATGGAGATTTTGCAATATCCTTCCCCCAGGAGTGGGGAGGGAATGGGGATTTTGCAGTATCCTTCCCCCAGGAGTGGGGAGGGAATGGGGATTTTGCAATATCCTTCCCCTAGGAGTGGGGAGGGAATGGGAATTTTGCAGTATCCTTCCCCCAGGAGTGGGGAGGGAATGGGAATTTTGCAGTATCCTTCCCCCAGGAGTGGGGTGGGGATGGAGATTTTGCAGTATCCTTCCCCCAGGAGTGGGGTGGGGATGGAGATTTTGCAGTATCCTCCCCCCAGGAGTGGGGAGGGAATGGGAATTTTGCAATATCCTTCCCCCAGGAGTGGGGTGGGAATCAGTAGTGGGTTTCAATTTTGTTTTGCGCATGTGCAAGCTTGCATGCACAACACTTCTGCGCATGCGCAGAAGCATCCGGGCAGGTGGGCAGAGCCTCCCACTGCCGCTGCTACCAGTTCGCCAGATCTGGGGCAAACCGGTAGCAACCCACCACTGGTGGGAATGGAGATTTTACAGTATTCTTCCCCTGAAGTGTGGTGGGAATGGAGATTTTGCAGTTTGCCATGCCCCACAGAACCGGTAGTAAAAAAATTTGAATTCCACCACTGGTTGGTCCCCATCGTGACTATCTGCTTCAGTCTTCAATCACCATAGAAGAGTTTGGGGAGAAATAGAAAATCTACCAAAGGCCACATTTTTTTTTTCATCTTGGCAACCTGTTCACTGCAGGTTTGTAAAATTCTGCACTTAGTCAAGCATATTGTGTGTGTGTGTGTGTGTATAATTTTAATTACAAATTAAAAAGTAAAAGAAAGAAAAAAGAATAGAAAGGAATAGAAAGTGAAATAAAAAGAAAAGAAAGAGAAAACAAAAAAATAGGATAAAGAAACAGAAAAAAGATATATAAAGCACTTCGTTACAACAATGTTAGAGAAATTTAACAACTCCAACTAGTTTGATGCAATGGACAACCTATTTGCACTTAACACCTCAACTGTCATGCTGATGTCTCCTATTGGTATTTGCTGTGGTCCACCAGCAGCCTGTGGAGCTGGCAGTAGAGTCGGACAGTGAGGAGGCTGGGGAGGAACATGGGCCAGTCCTGGAGTCTAGGGAAGGCTCGGACGAGGGCTCTGCATCATAGGCGGGGCCAGGGCCATCTAGAAGTTATGCACAGACTCCGGAGCCTCCAGAGTCAGACATAAGAGAGGCAGAGGGACAGGAGGAGCCTGTTCCTAGTGCGCACATGTGCAGAGCTGCCAGAAGGCAAGAACAGTTAAAACTAAAGGGACGACTCGGGAGTAAGGCCTGGAGATGATTGGCCCCTCCCATAAGGCTTAAAAGAGGAAGAAAGGCAGATGGGCACTTTGCAGGAAAACAACGTTGTTAATTCTGTTCCCAGTCAGCATCTCTGTTTGATTCTGGACTCCGTGTGGCTTTGCCAAGTAGGTCGTTGGCAGCGTGTCAAGGGAGATAAAGGTTGGTGATTATCTCAAAGGACTTCTCCCGAAGGACTTTTTGCAACTAATTGAGACTCAACTGTGAACGAGCGTAATTCACAGCTGTTGCAATAAAAAAGGTTTTTGGGACTACTCATGTGTTTGTTTATTTTTTAATTTGATTTATATGCCGCCCTTCTCCGGAGACTCAGGGCGGCTTACAATGCGTTAAGCAATGATTTAATGATTAAGGAAGCCTAGATCACAACAGTATTCCCCAGAAGTGTGGGCATGATGAATCCCAGAATTTCTGCAAATTGTAATCCCAAAACATCTGGAAATTTACTAGGTTGGAAAAAGTCTTCACATTCCCTTTCAAATATCTCAATTTACTTTCACAAGAACCATAGTAGGATTCTGGTTAGAGGGACAGAATGGAAAAATTGAAGTGGTTCTTAGTTCGTTTTCAGCTTCAACCACTTGACAAAGTTGTTATAAAGATAAAGATAAAATAAAAGACAAGTAAGCTTGCTTTAGCAATTAGAAGAAAAGCATCTCAGAAATTCAATTAATAATGATTATACTGGATTTAGTTCTTTGACATTTTATTTTTTTCCCCATCTACATTCTGTCTGTGTGTGTCTAATGAATGAATGTCCTCTGAAAATGTCCAGGATTTGGCAATTGTCTTGAATCAAAAATTGGATGGCTTTGTACCATACACTCTACTTAATTATTGCATTAACCCATTTCCTGGGTCAACACAATACAATGAATCTTAACCCAACCAAAGGGGCTAAAGCTCTTCCACAGAAAAATTTAAGATGAACATTAGCCAAGTTTACCATGATGAGCAAAAACTGGATCGTTGTTTGACTTGCTTAAATAAATTTTGTGAACACAGCAGTAAATTTCCCTTCTCTACACCTTTCCATTTTTTTTTCATGATTTGTTGTCTCTTAATTAGTTTAATAGTCTTGGCCATAGGCCAAAACTGAACAAGATTAGAAATAAGGCAGGGAGGAGAAGAGAAACAATAATTAAAAATATTGATTACTATTTCCTGCATGAGTAGTTACTGATTGGCTTCCATCTTTCTGCTGCAAAAGAATATGTTCTGTGAAAATTCATGCTCAATAAATGACCCAAAAATGTGCTGATGGACAGGCAGGCAGGCAGGCAGATAATTCAAACTCAGGAACAGAATAAGTTGCATTCACGTGTATATGTTTTTGGATGCTATTTTCCCTGAAAATGTATTTATGGAAGTGTAATACTAATTTTGACACTGAGAGCTAGATCCAACATCATCCCTGCATATGGTTCAGGCATCTGCTATTTCAGGTGATTTACTTTTCCTTGAAAAATCAAATCTGAATCAAGTGATATTCCCTTACATCAGTTTCCTATTCAGTAACTATACCAGAATTTTCATGGGGTTGCCTTGGACAAGTATTCAGATTGGTTGGTTGGTTGGTTGGTTGGTTGGTTGATTGATTGGTTGATTGACTGATTGATTGATTGATTGATTGATTGATTGATTGATTGATTATGTGGCGTTAAGTCATGTTCATCTCCTGATGACCACATAGGTAGATTTTGTCTATGATGAATCTATCTCTAACCTGTTCTTTCAAGTTCCTAACGGTGCAATTATCATCAACATAACTAAGTCTATCCACTTTGCTACTGGTTGTTCTCTTCCTTTTCTTTCTGCCTTTCCAAGCATTTAAGCATTTCCAGAGAACTGAGTTTACTTAAAGTAAGAAAATTTGGACCTGGTCACTTGGGCCTTATGTGAAAACTCTTTGTTTGATGATCCATCAGTTCAATTTCTATCCATGGTGTTATCTGGAGTCTTCTCCAACACCCAAGTTGAAAGTTGCCAATACTCTACTGATGTGGCTTCTTTAAAGCCCAATAAATATTCAGAAAATGACCAAAATGAACAGAGCAACTCTATTGCTCTTAAGTGTATCCTATTTTATAGCAGGTTACTGCTCATGTCAGCCTGTCTCTGATCCTGAGACTTGTTGTGTGCCAAGGACAGGGCATTTTTAAAAATGGGATTAAGGAGGTTGGTGGGATAAGGTAGTGTTTACTGGAACCGTTAGAGGGAATGTGGTGGCCTAGTGGTTAAGACACTGAGCTTGTTGACCTGAAAGTTAACAGTTCAAGACCCAAGCACCGTATGATAAGATGAGCACCCGTTTTTGCCCCAGTTCCTGCCAACCCAGCAATGTGAAACCTAGCAATGTGAAAGCATGCAAATGTGAGTAGCAATAGCAATAAGACACTCTGGGTCCTCATTTTATCGACCTCGGAAGGATAGAAGTCTGAGTCAACCATGAACCTAGTGAGATTCGAACTGACAAATTGCAGGCAGCCAGCAGGCAGCAGAAGTAGCCTGCAGTACTGCATTCTAACCACTGCGCCACCATGGCTCGTTAGATAAATAGATTAGTAGATAAATAGGTACCACTTCAGTGGGAAGGTAACAGTGTTCCCTGCACCTCGGCATATAGTCATGCTGGCCACACGACCACGGAAGCATTTTCAGACAACATTGGCTACCTCAGCTAGGAAATAGAGATGAGCACCATCCCCTAGAGTTAGACATGACTGGACAGAAAATCTTTATCTTTTTTTAGAGCCATTAAAGATGAGCCAGGTGGAAAAAGAGTGTTGGAGAGGAATCACAGAATCATGGAGCTGGAATGGAACTAAGGGATCCTCAAATTCAGCCTCTGTTTCAAAAATCCCGGTGAAGAAGGGAAAGAAGCCATTCACTGGGACACACATTCCACTGATCGGCAGTTTTTACAGTCAAAAAAGAGCTAAGATAAAAGTGACAGCTGAAAGGTAGCATTTAGTGCATAGGTGGGAATTTTTTTAGTAGGTTGGTACAAAAGGAACAATGCATCTCAGTTTCTTTCTCCAATATTCTAACGGCACTTCATAAAGTCTGCTTTAATTACAGCCAAGACCTCCCATAGAACTTCCTTCTGATCCAACATACCATGTGCTCTTCCTGCACAAAGTTTCTTCTTCCTTCAGGTGCCACAGGATGATTGGGGAGGATACCCAACATCGGGGAAGGACGGCGAGATCCCTTGTCGACGGATGCGGAGTGGCAGCTACATCAAGGCCATGGGAGATGATGATAGTGGGGACTCAGATACCAGCACCAAAGTGTCTCCCAAGGAGGTGGCCCGGCGTGAGGCATACCGCCGTTCATCCAGCGTAGATCAGGCCAGAACCAAGTAAGAAGTTAAGAAGGGTACCAATATTTCCTGGTTACTATGGGGGGAATGCTTAAGAAAGGATGAACATTCAACTGAGCTGTGGGCTATACATAAAGCACGCTCTCTTAACCAAGAACAAGAAGCCATAGGAAATCTGAGTGAGGTTTCCTAATACCTGTAGCAAAACTGATATATTATGGGGGAAGGCAAAGTGGGTAGGGGTAGAGGATAATGGTGTCTCTGTTCAGGGAAATTGTAGAAAGAGAGTAGCAGAAGAAGTCAGTTGAGAATGTGTTTGCTTGTTCCTGAACCCAGATTAGGAGCCAATTATTTTTCCTGACCTAAGTGAGACATGGGATACCTGAAGGAGTTGGTCAGAGTAGAAAAAAGCTAGCCTTCAGGACCATGGATAGCTCCAGACAGCCAAGTTGTCCCAACAATCTGCTGGTTTGTATCCTTCCTGAGCCAGTCTTCCTCTTCCTTGACTTCCACCGCTTCCTGAGGAACTGAAAATCAGATCAAATCAAAATTTTATTATGGTAATTAATAACAAACATCAGAGCAATTTAATGATGGTCAATAAAGGGGAATATTTGTAGCTCAAGAGTTGAAATGAGGGGTCTTTGATGGTCTCTGAGCTTGATTGTTTTCTTGCAGATATTTCATGACCCAAACTAGGTAACATTATCAGTACTAAGCACTAATGATGTTACCTACTTTGGGTAATGAAATATCTGCAAGAAAACAACCAAGTTCAGAGAGGACCAAGGACCCCTTAATGTCAGACAGTCTGAAGTCTACTTATCTGGTCACTGACTCTCGCCTTCTGTGCTGTCCTGGAGCTAACATGGTACCATGTCAAGGGCCCCAAGTTCTCCAGAAACTGCTCTCTTTGGCAACCCAACTTCCTTCCTTATCAGAGAAGTGTTGAGGTCAAGTCTAGAATCACATTCTGTATAGCTGATTATTTTATCTTCCTGATTCATACAATTCTTATTCCTTAGTGCCTTAGTGCCACTATATATATATAGTATATAGTGTATATATATATATACATATATACATACATACATACATACATACATACATATATACATACATGTGGGAGGGAGCATTCTGCTCCCTTTCGCCTTTTGCCTGGTTTGTCGTGAATGCGACTGCTTGAGGGCTCCTGGATTGGAGCTGAAAGGTGAAAGGGAACAGAATGCCCTCTCCCACATGTTGGGGTAGACCAGGTGTCTTGGTAAACACTTAATCTTTCGCCTGGCTCAAGCTGATGAAGGGAGGAGAACTTGTGGCTCAGAAGGTTAATTCAACTGCCTAACATGCAGGAAGCCCGAGTAAGGGTATAGCTAGCTGATGAAAGCTAAAAAAGCTTGAAATAGATCTATACTAGTCTCCCTTTATTTCTTTATCAGCAAAATATAAATTTTATATCTATATCTATATCCAGTTTGAAATTAAGGAGCATACCAATACCCCTGCAAGGATTTACCTATTTTATAGGAGCAGAGAACTTGGCCATGTTAAATCAGCCAGTCCACTCAGCCTCCTTTCCATGTCTTCTGCTCCTCTCCTGCTATGGGGGTTTGTTCAGAAACCTTTCTTCCCCATGTCTCTCATTAGGTTTGCAAGTAGACACTATTCTGACTCATATATCTGTAACTGTCCCAGCTGCTGCACACCACCCCGAATCCGGCCACGGGGACAAGGGTATGGACGTTCCTTCACCACTGGGCAGGTGAGGTGGTTTTTCTCTTCCGTTCTTGGATGGTAGAAAGCTGACCAAGTAGAAGTGATGGACAGTCATGAGAAGTAACACCGATGTCAATTTAGCTGAGTGGAAATTGTGTCACATAACTTACGATATTATAACGGGATGACTGGGGTACGGAATATTGAGTGTCTGTCATTTTTTATCTCCTGCTTGTATTGAGAGTTTGTCATTGCTTTTTCTCCCTGCTTGTATAGTGGGATGATCAAATAAAAAAAATCAATTTAGGGCAAGGAGGCATTTGTTTGCATTTCATTGTCCCTTGTGAGATGCTTGCAAGTACAGCTTTTTTTTTTTCCTCCAGGGATGTTTCATTAAGAAATGCTCCACCAAGCAAGAAGAGAATTCTAGATCGCCCTTCTTTGTGGAGCAAAAGCTTTCTGGAACAAAAGCTAGCAATAGCAATAGCCCTTAGACTTATATACCACTCCATAGTGGTTAACAGCCAGTGGTGGGATTCAAGTAATTTAACAACCGGTTCTCTTCCCTAATGATTTCTTCCAACAACCACTTGCCAAACTGCTCAGAAAGTTAACAACCGGTTCTCCCGAAGTGGTGCGAACTGGCTGAATCCCACCACTGTATATAGCCCTCTCTAAGCAGTTGCCTCCAAAAATCTGGGTCCCCATTTTGCAGACCTCAGAAGGATGGAAGGCTGAGTCAACCTCGAGCTGGTCAGGATCGAACTCCTGGCAGTGGGCAGAGTCAGCCTGCAATGCTGCATTCTAACCATTTCGCCACCATAGCTCTTAGCTATAACAGACGAATGCTGGATCTTTGGACTGATAGCTAACTGAAAAAAGGCAATGCTGTCATGCAAATGAGGAATTGTTCCATTCACAAATATCTGCAATGCAAGCCCTCTCTGTTGAGCCAGGATTGCCAGTGGAAATGACTAAATTTGATTGGATACCAGACATGTCAGTCAGACTGCTTTGGCTTAAGAAATCTTGGCTGCTATGCTTTGGTCTGATGCATGCTCACCTTAACTGCATCCGTGAATTATTCGTCCCTCTCTATGTTTTGGCATCTGCATGCTTTGCCATTCAGTCATTCAAAAGCACCATTTACACCAACCCATTTCTGCAGAGTAATCCTGGAATAGCTTTCAGTCTCTGGAGCCAAAAATTCACACTTTGCATTCCTGAGATTTCATTTGCCCTGCATCCTGGAAAAAGGAAAGAGAAATGATAAGTAACAAATCACGCTGTGCTTTTTATTTATCGTGATTGGGGAAAAGAGAGTGTGGGCGCTGATATTTATTTATTGCATACAGCACATTAGATTTGCAAACATAAAAAGGCCGCCCTGGTTATGAATAACAGATATTTGTGTCAAATGTTGCTGGAATTTGAGAAGTTTAAAGGGAAAACAACATTCTTAAGATATGTCTAATTAACTTATGAGATTCACTAGGACAGGATGCAGCGATGGTCCAGCGGAATTTCAAGGAAAGAATTAACTGAAATTGTGGGTTAGGGCATTTAAAAATTGGGGACAATTTTTTCAATGAATTTTACATTTTCAAACCAATGCACAAATCAAAATTGTTCTTCAGACTTTGTACTTTTACACACGCATAGACACACAAACACACACGTATGTTATTATATGATATCATATTAGGACAGAAGCAAGAATTGCAAACAAAAATTGTGCAAGAATAATTATGTGCAAAATTCATTACCATATATTATGGAATTTTTTAAAAAAAAAATATCTTGAACTACTGCGAGACTAGACAAGCAAATTCACGCAAAGAAAAATGAGAAACAGAATCAAAACTGACAGATTTGCACAAATGAGAAATGGAAAGCAACTGAGAGCAACTGAAATTGACAGATTCTCCCATCCCCAACAATGGCTAAGTGAATCATACATAAATCTGCAGATTTCCAAACTCTTGAAATAGGTGCTTTTCTGAACAATTGAAAGAAACAGAATTTATCTTTTCACAACCCAAAACAAGCATTTATTTTATTTGGAAGAAGTCTTCAATTCATCACTCTTACTGGCAATTAACTATTCACATAGGTTTGAGTGGAACTTAAACATACTTGGTATGAATCAAAGCAGAAATTATCTCTGCAATTTCCAGCAATCGCAACTAAGCAGTATACCAGAATCAACCAGCCTTTATAAAATAAGACTGATTTGCTTTTAACTTGGAACTCTGTGGTTTTGTCTGAATAATCAATTCAAGCTGTAGCTCTTAGCTAATTAATTTAAGGCTTCGACCAAGGCAAAGTTGCCAATCTAATTTACACATATACTTAACTTTATTTGTTCCACTGCTAAAACCTAGGATTGAACACAGTTCATTGGGGACAAGTTTCCTGCCTGGCATTTTGGGAGATTTCAGTGACTCCCTTCACAAATAGTCCTCCACTTATGACCAGAATTGACCAGAATTACGATTGTAAGTCATGCCAGTTGTTAAACAGATCATCAAGTGACTGATCCCGATCTTACAACCTTTTTTGAAGCAGTCATTAAGTGAACTCAGCAGTTTTAAAACAAATGCAGGGATCATAAAGCAAATGCAGTGGTCATAAAACAAACATAATGAACATGCTGGTCTTTAAGTGAACCTATTGTCCACAATGGGCATTTTTTGCCAGAAATTAAAAGTTAAACGCCAGTTTCTAGCAAGAAAAAAAAAACTTTGCAAATTGTAGTCACCTGACTTCAGGATGCTGCAAACAGCTGAAATGCGGCTTGGTTGCTGAGCTCCCAAAATGCAATCACATGACCCCAGGGGAGGGGCCGGCTGTCAGAACTTCTAATTCCGTTCACAACTTTGAATGGTCTCTAAGTGATGAACAGTCAATTGAGGGCTGCCTGTGCAATCTCACTCAAAAGGTATGGTGCATTTAAACAGAGTTTGTTGAAGAAGCTTCAATTCTGATTTAGGCATGGTCTGTGAAACAAATGGTGAGGCAATACACTGAGATGATAGCCAACAAGCTACTACCGTTTGACTTCAAGTGGTGTAAGAAACCAGCAATATGCCTTAGTTGTAACGGTGAATGTGATAGCGATTTGTGAGAACCGACACCCATCAGAAAGTTGACACCAGGTAGATACACTCCTTTGAAGGTAGTAGGACAACTTATGGATAAATGATTGAACGTGTGAATGAGTCTGAATTCCCTCCTCTTCACTCTTCCATTGTCTTCCCAGATCAATGATGAGTTGAACCATCAGTTTGAGGCTGTGTGTGAGTCTGTTTTCGGAGAGGTGGAGTCCCAGGCTGTGGAGGCTTTGGATCTGCCCGGTTGCTTCCGCATGCGCAGCCATAGTTACCTGCGGGCTATTCAAGCTGGCTGCTCCCAGGACGATGACTGCCTCTCTCTCTTCACCATGGCAACAACCACTCACCAGCCTGGCCAACCTCTCACCAGCAGCATCCTCAAGCCAAGCACCTGTAAGTACCACGAAGAACCTCTAGGTATGGGTTGAGCAACCTCTAGGTAGGTGAGATTAACAGAAGACCTTTTGGTAATAAGCTGTAATGTGGTGGAAAGGAATTTAGAGCTGACCTTGAGGAAGGTATGAGAATGCTGTTCTATGGAATGATGTGGAGCTCGCCATGTTTTTAGGCAGGAAGCTATACCGGAACCAACTTACAGGCTAACAAACCAACTTACTTCTCACTCTCAGTTTCAGGAATGTAGAATTCTATTTGTTGTACCTATTCTTGACTTACTTGTTTTTGTTATGAATAAATTCATGTTAGCTTGTATTTGTACAGGAAAGAATAAAGACAAAAACTGATCGGATTTTCTGTCCTTGGCCAACCTTATCAATAAACTGGGTCTATAAATGTAATGGACAGAAGGAATAACCTTGAAGAACAAGAGGAAGATCCACAACCAAAACAACAGTCAGATAAAAGACACCTGAGTCCTGGGGAGAAGTGTAATTAGAGAAAGCATCTCATACATGACCTTCCCTCGTTCTCATGAAGATAAAGAAGGGAAGAAAAAAGCACATTGAAATTTGCAAGATTCTGTCATTATAAACTTACAATAAAAATAATGTTTACTTGAGGGTCTTTGGCTTCCAAGCCTAGTCTACCTGAGAGAACTGACAACAAGTCTGAATGAAGTTCCTCCCTCTTAATCTTCATGAGGACTAGGGAAGATCAGATCTGAAAGTTTTCTCAAATTACATTTTGGCTTTGGACTCAGATTTTTTTTTATCTGACCATTGTATAACAAATGGTCAGACCTGGAAGGGACCTTGGAGGTATTCTAGTCAGGGGTGAAATGCTCCTGGTTCACACCAGATCACCCAATCCGGTAGTGATAGTGGCGGGTGGTTTGGAAAACTGGTAGCAAAAATCTCTGTTCCCCCCCCCTCCCATGTCCAGCTGAGCCTTGCAATCATCAGAGGCTTTTTATTTTATTTTTAAAAGCATTTTTTCTACAACCACTTTGGCAAAAAAAATGCTTTTAAAAGTTAAAAAAAAAGCATCTGATGATCAGGCAACTCATCTGGGATCTCAGAGGCTTTTCAAAGCATTTTTTCTACAACCTCTTTGGCCAAAGAGGTTGTAGAAAAAATGCTTTGAAAAGCCTCTGACAATCCCAGATGAGTTGCCTGATCATCAGAGGCTTTTAAAAGCATTTTTTTACAACCTCTTCGACTGAAGAAGTTGTAGAAAAAATGGTTTTAAAAGAAAAAAAACCCTTTGACGATCAGTCAACTCATCTGGGATCGTCAGAGGCTTTTCAAAGCATTTTTTCTACAACCTCTTTGACTAAAGCGGTTGTAGAAAAATGTGTTTTTAAAAGAAAAAAAAGTCTCTGCCGATCAGGCAACTCATCTGGGATCGTCAGAGGCTTTTCAAAGCATTTTTTCTACAACCTCTTTGGCCAAAGAGGTTGTAGAAAAAATGCTTTGAAAAGCCTCTGACGATCCCAGATGAGTTGCCTGATCATCAGAGGCTTTTCAAAGCATTTTTTTTACAACCTCTTCGACTGAAGCGGTTGTAGAAAAAATGTTTTTAAAAGAAAAAAAACCCTTTGACGATCAGGCAACTCAGCTGGATCGTCAGAGGCTTTTAAAAGCATTTTTTTACAACCTTTACAGCCGAAGGGGTTGTAGAAAAAATGGTTTTAAACGTAAAAAAAAAAGTTGGCCATGCCTACCTAGTCACATTATCCTTCCAAGCCATGCCCACAGAACCGGTAGTAACAAATTTTACATTTCACCACTGATTCTAGTCCAATCCTCCACTCAAGTGGGAAACCCTATACTATTTCAGACAAATGGTTGTCCAATCTCTTCTTAAAAGCCTCCAGTGTTGGAGTGCCCACAACTTCTGGAGGCAAGTCATTCCATTGATTAATTGTTCTAACTATCAGGAAATCTCTCCTTAGTTCCAGGTTGCTCCTCTCCTTGATTAGTTCAGATGCTTTTCGTCCACCAAAGGTACTTTGGAAAATAGGTTGACCCCCTCTTCTTTGTGGCAGCCCCTTAGACATTGTTTTGGTTGCAACTCTTCCTGCTGTTCCTCAGAGTTATTCCTTCTTCCCATTTCAATAAATTAATACCAAACCAGGCAGCCTTGGGACAAGGAAGTTGTGATGCCCAGGATGCAGTGGTGGGATTCAGCAAGTTCGCACCTATTCGGGAGAACCGGGTTGTTAATTTTCCAAGCTGTTCGGAGAACCGGTTGTTAGAAAAAATCTTATTTTGGTTTTTTTTCCCCACTTTATAGGGCTAATCCTGTAAGGAAGGCAAGAAAGAAACATTCTGGTGTTGTTTCTAGCCTAATCTTTATTGCCCTGCTTCCAGAAACTCTCTGGTTAACCCTTATTACATTGTAACAGCTAAGGCAAAGCGCCCATCGATGAGAAGAGCCTCGGTGGTGCAGCAGACTAAGTGCTGTTAAGTGCTAGCACTTAGCTGCCAGCTGCCTGCAATTAGTGCGAGTTCAAATCTCACCAGGCTCAAGGTTGACTCAGCCTTCCATCCTTTCGAGGTAGGTAAATTGAGGACCCGGATTGTGGGGGCAATAAGCCGACTTTGCATAGAACAACACCATTTAGGGGTGGCCAAAAGCCCTAATAAGCAGGTATATACATAAAAGTATGCAGGCTATTGCTATAATGCATTGTAAACCGCCCTGAGTCTACGGAGAAGGGCGGCATATAAATTGCACTAATAAATAAATAATAATAAATAAAGATGTGAGTGAAGTTGAGTTGGCCACGCCCACACGGTCACATGGCCACCAAGTCACACCTACCCAGCTGGTTATTAGGGCAGAGAACCAGTTGTTAAATTATTTGAATCCCACCACTGCCTGGATGTAGCCTAGTAGATGCTAATTAAAGTGTAGCGTCCTTTTTAATTGTTCCATTTTGCTTTCCTTTCTCTTCCCTACCCACCCCCAACCTCCATATAGCTTTTAGTTACCGGAAAGCTCCACCAGCCCTCCCTTCAGGAATCAAAGCCAAGCCCCTCATTGCTGTTACAGCCCAAAGCAGCACCGAATCTACCCATGACAGTTTCCTGCCCAGAGAGATCAACCGAAGCTCATCCTGGGCCAAAGAGGCCACCAAGCACTGCAACTCTTCTGAGAGTTTAGAAAGCACCAAGATCACTGCCATGTCTCTGGATTTGCCTTCGGTCCAACCCCGGACTTCCCCCAAACCTTCCACCCTTATCATCAGGACGATTCCAGGGAGGGAAGAGCTAAGAAGTTTGGCTCGCCAGAGGAAATGGCGTCCATCTATCGGTGTTCAGGTAGGTTTGGGATGGCCTCAGTGCTGGAGGGAAGCTGTATCTTGGCTGGGGCCAGTTCAACAAGCACTGCTTGTGACCAGCCTCTTACTTGACTTCTCTCATAATCATTGACCATCAGAAATGTAGTATCTTCTTTACTCCCCTCTTATTCGTATTATTATGAGAACGATTATTATCATTCTGTTGCTTTGAAAGTACACTGGAGCTTCTGCATTCTATTCTATTCTATTCCATTCCATTCCGTTCCGTTCCGTTCCGTCCTGTCCTGTTCTGTTCTGTTCTACTCTATTCTACATTCTACATTCTACATTCTACATTCTACATTCTACATTCTACATTCTGTTCTGTCCTGTCCTGTCCTGTCTTGTTCTGTTCTACTCTATTCTACATTCTACATTCTACATTCAACATTCTACATTCTACATTCTACATTCTGTTCTGTTCTGTTCTGTTCTGTTCTACTCTACTCTACTCTACTCTACATTCTCTTCTATTTTATTCTATGCAAGTCATGGGTCTTCTAGAGACTAAATACTTTGATGAGACATCTCTATATTTATTCTATTCTATTCTGGTTTGTTTTTCTGTTCTATTTCTATTCTGTTCTAATCTATTCTATTCTATTCTACTCAAGTCTTTGGTGGTTTTTGAGATACTCTTTGTGAAGCTTTAGCTTCCTCAGTCACATTTGCAAGGCAAATAGCAAAAAAAAAAAAAGGAAAATGTTGAATGAATCTTGAGTAAATTGAATTTTCTTTAGAAGATCCATGAAATTTGGACTACAGAGGGTTCTTCCATCCATCTCACAGCCTCACAAAAATGAAATTGCCTTCAAGCTTAAAGGTTACAATGCCATGGTTGCTAGAATCTGATTTCTACCAGCAAAACAGCCGGTGTGGTGATCTGCAAAGAAAGCAACGAGATATTACAAAGTCACCAAAGAGTGTTTCTGGTCTCTAGCTTCATTTCTGTGCTACTGACCTACAGTGTCTTCACAGCATGAACTATCCATTGTTGAAGTGAGGTGAAACCTGTCTACATTACTTTTATTCTGGGATAATGAAAACTGTATGGCTCAAGAAGAAGCTACAAATCACTAACGTGGAAATGATATGGGTTTGCTAGAAGACATCTTGGCTCTGTTTATATTACACCTTTAATCAAGTCCATTGGTGGCTGTTGTTGCTGTTCTTTGTTTTTCAAACATTACCCCCTCTGAGGCAACCATGCTTGCCAAACTGTAGGGATACAAGAGTTCACATTGTACATTGGCATCCTTCAGTCTCAAGAGACTATGGTATCGTGCTCTGGAAAGAGGTCCTAACGTCTTAACGGTTACGCGAGGCTGGCTCCAGGGGATTATCAACGCTTCCTTGAGTGAGGGTGTCTTGCCATCCACCTTGAAAGAGGCGGTGGTGAGGCCCCTCCTCAATAAGCCTGCTCTGGATCCGGCTGTTTTGGCTAACTACCGTCCGGTCTCCAACCTTCCCTTCTTGGCGAAGGTTGTTGAGAGTGTGGTGGCATGACAGCTTCCTGGGTATCTGGATGAAGCTGTCTATCAGGATCCACTCCAGTCCAGTTTCAGGCCTGGGCACAGTACGGAAATGGCATTGGTCGCGTTGGTGGATGATCTCTGGAGGGCTCGGGATAGGGGTTGCTCCTCTATCCTGGTCCTGTTAGATCTCTCAGCGGCTTTTGATACCATCAACCATGCTATCCTGCTGCGTCGATTGGAGGGGTTGGGAGTGGGGGGCACCGTTCTGCGGTGGTTCTCCTCCTATCTCTCCGACCAGTCGCAGTCGGTGTGGGAAGGGGGGCAGAGGTCGACCCCGAGGCGCCTTGTTTGTGGGGTGCCTCGGGGGTCGGTCCTCTCACCCCTTCTGTTCAACATTTATGTGAAGCCGCTGGGTGAGATCATCCGTGGCTCTGGGGTGGAGTTCCATCAGTACGCTGATGATACTCAGCTGTACATCTCCACCCCAGGCCATCCCAAAGATGCCATTGAAGTGATGTCCCAGTGCCTGGAGGCCGTGCGGATCTGGATGGGGAGTAACAGATTTCGACTCAACCCTTCCAAGACCGAGTGGCTGTGGCTTCCGGCGTCCCGATATAGCCAGCTGGTGCCATCACTGGCTATTGGGGGCGAGTTATTGGACCCCACAAACAGGGCTCGCAACTTGGGCATCCTCCTGGATGCACGGCTGTCTTTAGAAGAACATATGACGTCTGTGGCCTGGGGGGCTTTCTATCAGGTCCACCTGATTTGCCACTTGCGTCCCTTTCTGGATTGGGACTCCTTACGCACAGTCACTCAGGCACTCATCACTCAGGCACTCATTGGACTACTGCAATGCTCTCTACATGGGGCTCCCCTTGAGGAGCACCTGGAGGCTCCAACTGGTGCAGAATGCGGCCGCGCGGGGGATTATGGGAGCGAGGGGGCGCTCCCATGTGACACCTCTCCTGCGTGAGCTGCATTGGCTTCCAGTGCAGTGAAACTAAAGATAAAGTAATCACAATCTTACTATGGTTGGCAGAAAGCCCAGAAGCAATTTGTAGATAATCCAGACACGAAGGAGAGTGAACTAGTTGTTCCCTACAAATTGCTTCAGTCGGCATTCCTCCTTAAATAGGCTAAGGGAGTGGCCAATTAGCCCCAAGCCTTACTCTCGAGGAGACCTCCTCCTGAGAAGCCACTCCTGCATCGAGAAGAGGCTCCTCCTCTTCGTCCTCTTCAAATTAAAGGAGCTTCTGGAGGTTCTGAAGGCCCTGGCTGAATCCCCGCCTCTGGCACCACATCTTCTCCAGCCTCCTCATTGTCTGACTCAAGCACCAGCTGCACAGGCTGCTGGCGCAGCACCACACCAGCCTCCTCGCTGTCTGAATCAGCTACAATCTGCACAGGCCACAGATGGGCCACAACATCTCCAAGAAGACTCCCAAAAGTTGCAAATCTAAAGATCTAAAAAAGAAAAGCTCAAAGAGATGTATTTGTAGCTGACTGAATAAACAATCGCGTAGTTTGCTGACATTTTTCCTCTGAGGAAATCTGGCTGCCAACTGGACCTGGTTTTGCTGATAAGCTGCTGCTTCAAAGAATCCGTAGGTTATGCTAAGCAGCACTTTGATTTTGAAGGCAAAGGGTAGTCCAGAGCCTCGACCTGGGTCCTTGCATAGCATCTGTTTGAAACATCTTAAAGCAGCTATTTCTTTGCACGAGATGCTGTGATCCTTCAGCTGATCCTGGGAAAAGTTGTCCTTGGTTTAAGGACTTGCAGCTGGGTATGACATCCAGAGCCCAAAGTCGTGTTTTGTCTTCAGAACCAAAGTACCGCATGGCCCTTCACATCAGGGATTTGGTGCTCATTGTTGTCAGACTAAGTCAGGGGTCAGCAACCTGCAGCTATGGAGCCGCATGTGGCTCTTTCATCCCTCTGCTGTGGCTCCCTGTCACTCAAAATATGCATCACAACCGCCAATGTGCAACAGCCACCAGCACGCAATTTAGTGAGCTTTTCGACACCACCACCACCACCCCGGTAGGCCAACCATGGATAAGTCCAAGAAAAGAAAAATTTCATAAGAAAACAGTACATTTAATTCAACTACATATGCTAGTTTAGTGGCCGCTCAAGAAATAGTCAGGCATGGGAAGGATTTTGTGGCTCCCGGTGTTTTCTTTTCTGTGGGAAATGGGTCCAAATAGCTCTTTGAGTGTTTAAGGTTGCAGACCCCTGGGCTAAATTATTCCCCCAAACAATAACTTTGCTTTGTGTGATGACTTAAGAGAGGAGATGACTGAGTACATTTTAATCTCAGTTCAAATTGGATTTGAACCAGGGTGGCCAGAGGCAAACTAAGTCAAGGATCCCACTTGAGCAGACAGTACCATTCATAACTGTGCGGGTATGATAACTAAGAAATTAAAGACACTGAGTTTGTCAGCTGGAAAACTGACAGCCCAGGTTTGAGACCCAAGCAGTGCATGATGGGGTGAGCTCCTGTTAGTTGCCCCAGCTCCTGCCCACCTAGCAGTTCGAAAGCATGGAAATGCAAGTAGATAAATAGGTACCACTTCGGTGGGAAGGTAACAATGTTCTGTGCACCTCGGCAGGGGTGAAATGCTACCGGTTTGCATTAGTTCAAGCGAACCGGTAGTAAAAAAAAAGCTACCGGTTTGTCCGAACCGGTATGTCTGACGATCAACTGTGCTAGAAAGCAGGAAAGCGAATCTAAATCATGCAGCACAGCGGTTCCCCCCCTCGCTGTTCTACTTACTTTCAAAAGGGTCCTTTTTCCACATGAAGCTCACATTTGGTGTGCAGTGTGCATGCACACACGCAGCGTGTGTTTGGTACGGACTGCGCATGCACACACAGCATGTGTTTGGCGTGCACCACGCAGGCATGCAGAACGTGTGTTTGATGCGCACTGCACATGCGCGGACAGCGAACTGGTGGCAACCCACGGAAGATTTCACCACTGTACCTCGGCATATAGTCATGCCAGCCACATGACTATAGAAGCATATTCAGACAACGCTGGCTCCCTCAGCTAGGAAATGGAGATGAGCACCATCCCCTAGAGTCATACACAACTGGACAGGGAAAACCGTTACCTTTACAATTCATAAGTATGTGGCACAATCCACAACAAAGCGAAAAGGATGTCATGTGCATTGTGACATCCCAACACAAAAGGCTTTCATATTGCATCTCGGTATGCAAGTCAGGGGGGACTGCGTCACGTTGTCACAACACATTTCATCAATTTCCCACATGGCCTCCTCTCAGATGTGATGTTTCTAAGGCCTTCAGGTCTTACTTTAGATATTCCAGGACCCAGAAGGTCTGCAAAGGAACAGAACAGTGGATGGTGCAAAGCAGTGGTGGTATTCAGCAGGTTTGGGCAAACCAGTAGTGGTGACCTATTTAGGATGGCATAGCACCAGAAATGGGGATTTTACAGTATCCTTCCCCTGCAACACCCACCAAGCCACA